AGACAGAGAGAGAGAGAGAGCATCTGTCATGTGGGCGGAAAGAAGGATTATCCAAGGGAAGCGAAACATGATAGAGAAAATAGTAATAACTGAAAATGGATTCTTTCGCTATATTTACAACAATGTTTAATATATTAAAAGGAATAAGATAGAAAGGGAGACCTGACAAGTAGATGAAGATTAAGTTAAAGTGTTATATGAACAGTTGTAGTTCTTTACTAGCTTTAAGTCCAGTGTTAAGAAAAGGTTTGTTATGTTTCATAAGCAGTGCTTCAAGAAAAGCAAGGATGTTGTAGTTGTTAGATTTTGTAATGTGAAGTATTTCAATAGGAGAAGACTTGTCAGAAGGCAAAGGCAGATCGTTGAGTAGCAGGGCCGCCGAGAGGTTGGCGGGGGCCCGGGGCAAATTTTTTTTAGTGGCCTCTATCTAAAACATTTTTCCTGAAAAATATTCCCCCCCACCCGTCGCCAAAAAATTTTCGGTCAGTGTACCATTTTAGGGGTACAAAATTTTTCCGGACAAGTACGTTGCAATTACTTTCCAGGGACTTTATCTCATTTTTTATGCCAATTTTCGGTACTTATCCCCAAAAACAGGTATCTTGTCCTTTGCGCGAAAATATTTAACGCACAAAAAAGACTGGGGCCCAACAAAAATTTTTCAGGGCCCCCCAGCACCTCGGGGCCCGGGGCAATTTGCCCCCCCTGCCCCCCCCCCCCTCGGCGGCCCTGTTGAGTAGTGTGAATTGGTCTTGTAAAGTAGCTAAGAATTGAGCATGTTCACACTCGGAAAAATGTTGGCCCACTGCACTAGAAGAGAGCCTAGTTGCACGCTCTTTCAAACGTACAGAAAGGCATCTTTGTGTCATGCCAATATATGTTTTGCCAATATAGGTTTTGGCATGACGCAAAGATGCCTTTCTGTACGTTTGAAAGAGCATGCAACTAGGCTCTCTTCCAGTTTAGTGGGCCAACATTTTTCCGAGTGTGAACATGCTCAATTCTTAGCTACTTTACAAGACCAGTTCACACTACTCAACGATCTTCCGTTGCCTTCTGACAACTCTTCTCCTATTGAAAACCTTGTTTTCGACAGCTACAGAATACTAGCCTGCTCACATGCAGACGTTGTAGTTCTTACGCCAAGCGACGAAATACTACCGTCTGCTTAACCGAGCGCCAAACTGAATTCCGCTACGTCGACCAATCAGAATTTACCTTCCATATTCTGGAAAGTGACGTCAGTTGATTTAGGAGCGGAATAAATATAAATATATATTTTGAAAGCAGTCGTCGGTTGAATTTTGGTCAAAATTGCACATAAATTGATTTAAAGATACTGATACTCGTCCAGGTAATAAAATGCACCATTAATGGTCAGATTTGGATATTAATTAAAGATGTTCGGCTATATTTAAAACGTGGACATGATTGGCATATTTATACTGTATGAATCTTAGCCAGACAGCATCAAATGCCGCACATATTTCGCTGAAATTTTAACGGTTAATCTTTATAGTAAATTAAAGACAACAGAACTCGGAAGACATAAAATTTTATATAATGCTGTGGCTTAGAAAGCGAAATATTAGCTTCAAAGTAAACTGTTTGCTGTTTGAGCAACCACTTCTGAATGTAAACTGTAAACACAACACAAACCCGAGAAACTTGTATTAAAATTGCGCCGTGATGAGTTTTCCAATTCGCCCAAACTTGGAAACGTTTATACTCTAACTTGGCTATACTTTTCTACGTGACAATGAGAGCTTAATCTTTTAGAAGTTTTCGTCGAAGTCATGGCATATAGGAAGTATCAAGAGCAACATTTGGACATATCCTGATATACTCGAGTTTCCCGATTGATTGTTTGTCATTGTTTATAACAAAACTTTAAATTTCGCCTACTGCATTGCTTTAGCACTTTATATACACCGATTGTTTGCTGAACATGCGAGAAGATGATCACAATATTATTCTACGTAAACATCGTGAAGTTCAACGCTATAGTTTCCAAGATATATACACGCAAGTAAACAAATTTCAAGTTTCAACCCAAACAATATATTCCAATGCATGTGCAAGGGGTTTCCCCTGTAGCTAATCTCTCAATAAGGCGGCTTCCAATTGGCTCTAACTTTTTTGAACACTGCCAGATGATTGGCTTCTAAAACAAAGGAAATTGAATATGCAGCTCGGGTAAGCAGACGGTAGTATTTCGTCGCTTGGCGTAAGAACTACAACGTCTGTGAGCAGGCTAACAGAATACTAAAAGGACAAGATACCTGTTTTTGGGGATAAGTACCGAAATTTGGCATAAAAAATGAGATAAAGTCCCTGGAAAGTAATTGCAACGTAGTTGTCCGGAAAAATTTTTTACCCCTAAAATGGTACACTGACCGAAAATTTTTTGGCGACGGGGGCGGGGAATATTTTTCAGGAAAAATGTTTTAGATAGAGGCCACTAAAAAAAATTTGCCCCGGGTCCCCGCCAACCTCTCGGCGGCCCTGCTACTCAACGATCTTCCTTTGCCTTCTGACAACTCTTCTCCTATTGAAAACGTTGTTTTCAACAGCTACAGAATACTTCACATTACAAAATCTAACAACTACAACATCCTTGCTTTTCTTGAAGCACTGCTTATCAAACATAACAAACCTTTTCTTAACACTGGACTTACAGCTAGTAAAGAACTACAACTGTTCACATAACACTTGGAGCAAGCGGCTCCAGCACTGTCAGCAGTAGTATATAAACAGATGAGATGCGGGAGAATCTGTTTCAGACAAATACTCCGAAATGCTACTACATCGCGACGAAACTGACATTTTAGTTCGTGAAATACATGCGATGTCGAGCGATGCCCTTGCGATGTGTGAGACTATGACGTCAAAAGCCTCTCGTGACAACATAAAATCAAGATGGCGGATTTTAATGGCGGACAGCGATTTTGGACATTTCAAATGCTCGTAACTCCGTGGTTGTTAATCATGTTCGCCTGAAATTTTACACAAGCATTTTTGTTGCAATAATAAAGTCGTTGCTAGAAAAAAAGGGAATTTTCTCGATGATGAATTTTCGTCACAGTAGCACTTTAAACACGCAAATTTAGTGAGACGCACACTCGCACATGTTAAATGTCACCTGTATGTAATCGTCATTGCCCTTTAACCCCTGGTCTAAATCATATGATTATTGAAGCGGGGCCGTTTTGACTTTGGGTCGTTTGACTCTGGGCCTATTTGTGGGCAAATTGTCTGTACAATTTTATATACTAGATATCACAGCCATAGCTGCCATTTTGATCTTTTCCTCGCGTTAGATAAGTTGATCAGTACACTCATTCTTGTTAGCCATCTTACGGTTCGGTTGTTCCTCTTTCGATACGAAACTTCGAGCGCTGAGTTATCATACGGCACATTCAATTGTATAAATCATGGATGATTCCAATTCATTACGAATATTTCTTACTCTTATTCTTTAAAACATTAAGAGGCAATTTTTTTTCAATGTCATGTATTTGCAATGAAAAGTGTTCAAAACCTAAAATCTTTTTGGCGTTCCTCTCAAAATTACTTTGTTTTAGCTTTATTCTCTGAGTTTATAGAGTTAGCTAGCTACCTTTTTAAATGCGTCTGCCGGTTGAGAAACATAAAATAATAGTTAAGAATTGCCAATTAAAATACAATTATCAACGATGCCTTAAAATTGACGCTATATTTACAGCCATTTAAGCAAAACGTACTGAACTTCAGACATCATTTTCACTTTGGCGTATCATTTAAAATCTCTTCATTTTAGCATTATTTACAGATAAAGCACTAATCATGCTTTTTAAGTTTTTTTTTACCGATTGAGAAACGTAACGAAAAAAAAAATTTGATTTTAGTCATAATCTCATGTGATATATAATACTCATTAGTTTTGAGCGCGTGTTACGTAACATACAAAAAATCTCATTTAAAGATTTGGGAACAATGCTATACCAAGGCAGCATTCACTACCCTGTGGGTAAACTAGTAATATTATCTAGTTCTTTAGATTTATAAACATTAATTGACTAACATATAGATAATGAGTTAATTGTTATTCTAATGAGTTTCTATAATAACTATAATCGTATATTCTTTGGAGGTGGGATATCTTATGTGGGCCAGCTCTGCAGTATTATTCCCATTTAAACACAAAATAAAATTTAGCAGGAATATAATAACAAAGGTGCATTAATTAACCTACAATCTCGCCTAAATGGCGGCCCAGCTTGACCGGTACTTAAATTGGGCTGCAATATGGCTAATTGCCCCATGTAAACAGCTCCGTAGAAGTCAAACAGTTGGGATATACGGGTTAATTTATGCCCTTTTCGTTTGTTATATAATGTGGAGTAAAAATTGTCTGGTACATGTTAGACAGGGCTCAAATTGCAACTCAGTGGGCTAATTTAAATGCCAGAGGATTTTAATTGCTTGGCCATACAGATAAATTTGGGTATCACTCAGGGGTAAATTTTATATTAATGGAGCAGCCCTTATTAGTGGTTTTCTATCATTAGAGATTGATTTCCATATTCTTCAACTTTTAGGACATTTAGCAATATTATTAATTATTTAACAAATATTCAATGCGACTATTCTGTAATACTAGTTAATATTCAACATTCTGTGACTTAATATTTATTTCTATGAGCTTTCGGCTATCAGTCTTAGCCTTCGACGGCTGTATAAATGATTTTATAAACGGCACTAAGCTTCAGTAGGTGGTATCCTCTATTTTTCCATATTTTGTAATGTCCTAAATAGTTCAGGGCGTTCATGTAGGGGCATCCCTTGGGAAATCTAGAGTCCCTTGAATGCTGGGCAGGGCTATGGGGGAAGCAGCACCCAGGGGATGCCAGGGATATGCGGCACATACTCCAGGGCCTTTTTTAAGGATTTTCCCGTGTGTGGGGGGGGAGATTTTTTGAAAAGGGACTTTTCTGTGAGAGACTATATTAAAGGGGATAGCAATGGCTGGCCAATATACCACGCATGAATTGGGGGTGGTCTGTGGAAGTACTCCCCCAGAAAATCTTTGAAATTTGAATCCCGGAAATGTCATTTCCTGCATTCTGAGCATCCAAATTTGCTCCAAAATTTATGCTAACTATACTTGTATTTGAAATAAAAGATGGAAAAAATGCACAAAAAGTAAAAAAGAATATTAACTGTAATTTATCATTACTTATTAGAGGGATAATCCCCAGAAAATATTTGAAATTTGAAACCCGGAAATGCTATTTCCTGCATTCTGATCATCCAAAAAATAAAAAATTATTAACAATAATTTATCATTACTTAGTGGTAGAAAAAAGTAACAATTTAAATCGATTTTGTTAAACAAGGACAAAGGATAAAGCCTAATACTTACTTTCCGTTTATGTATTTGTTAATCTTCGCTGGTTTGTTTCTATAATTTTAGGGAAAAGGGACTTTTCCTGGCGGGGGAGGAATGTGATTTCTGGGGGGGGCACAAGGGGGGACTGGGGGGCATTTGCCCCCCCCCCCAGCTTTTATGTTAAAAAAGGACCTGACATACTCAACCAAGATTGGCAGAATCACATATTCGGAAAATTGGACATCGATTCGGAAATAAAAAAACATTCGTGTACATTGTTCAATGTGACGAGAGCAAATAATTGTTAATTGATTGGAGAAAACGAAGACAACACACAATACACAGAAAACGTCTCGTTATTCAATTCAAGTGCAGTAAATTGCTATCCAGTCTACTTATACAGAGAATACAGTACTAAAAGGCCACTCTTACTACTGTATATTGCAATTGCTTATAATTTGGCCGAATGATATAAAACATTGGCCCAGAATGCAGGGAATGCTGTTTCGAGGAACCTGCGCCTCTAACCTGAAGTTCAGGCCCTAATCACAGAATAGGGCCTGACACAAAACCTATCTAAACCGTGGGATTCCCGTCCATCTGGTGGATGGGAAATTTGATTGGTTGATCAGCATCATGAAAGGTTTTGATTGGTTGGAAGTTCACATTTTGTAAATTGCTAGGTCAATGTGGCAAGGTCAAACGCATGTATCAAATTGCATGGGTCATGTAGCAGCTCCAACAAAGTCTTTTGTGATTGGTCAAAGGGATAGTTAAATATTAATTATATACTGGACAAATAAATTCTATGTTCGTATACAATATAGAAATTTGTGTATTAACTTGTTCTATTTTTAATCATTTATACAGTTATATAGTAGTGAAGGTAGCGAAGGTAGCGAAGGTAGCGAGGGTAGCGAAGGTAGCGAAGGTAGCGAAGGTAGCGAGGGTAGCGAGGGTAGAAAAGGTAGGGAGGGTAGCGTAGGTAGGGAGGGTAGCGGTCAATCAATCAATCAAAGCTTTATTTAACTGACACGGTGAAATCTAATCTAAGAGATTATGACTAACATATAATGTGGTTATAATTAAGCTATGATAATAATACACTTTAAACTTATGCAAACACTAAAATACTGATTTATATAGAGAACAACTGATTGTCAATTGCTCTTTTGAATTGACTTAGAGAGAGCATGTTGCTCGTACATTTTGCGGTAACTCGTTCCACATCACTTCCCCCGCTATAACTAAAAACTTCGTTTACTGTAGTTCGTTCGTGGTTTTGGCACAAATAAGGTGTGTCCAGAGTTTCTCAATTATATCCTGTGCTGCGAGTTAGTTAATGCGTTAATTGTTTTAAACATCAGTCTATATAGCTTTATGCTTTTTCCGACGTGTTAAAAGATTATGCCAGCCCAGCTTCGAGATTTAGTGATGACCCTCGCTGTCCAATTTTGCAATTTTTGCAATTTATCATTTACGTGATAGACTAGATAGGGTTATTCAAGAGCAGCTAAAGAACATGATAAACATTTTAAATGCACTCATTCAAAGCAACCATACAACTCAAAATTTTTCACAAGAAATTCGACTAGACATTGATCATTTCGATAACACCTTCAGAATAGTACTTACAAATTTTCTGCTCAATGGAAACGTTCTGCATGTTATGTGGTGACTTTAATGCTAGGATAGGTAACCTAGAAGATTTTATTATTGATGATCCTTTTTCAAACATAGAACATCTAATCCCAGTTTTCGTCAACTAAACGACTTTCGAGAGATACACATGTAAATCTGTATGGAAGATCTTTAGTTGATCCATGATATATTGGGAATAGTTTGATTCCCTTAATTAAATGGTAGAACCAAAGGTGATTTGATTGGCCAGTTCACTTGTAATATGTACAATGCTGTCAATGGTGCAGGTGTTGTGAACTATGCTATTGTTTCGCATGACTTGCATGTTTCCTTTCATATAGTTTCCTGATAGATGACCCAACAGAGTTTTCTAACCCAACAGAGTTGTCTTTCCCTGGTGTTGAGAATAGAATTTCCTCAACGTCTGAATGATGCTATGAAATTATCTTCCCATCCAATATCTTTTAGTGGAATGAAAATCATAAAGAAACATTACAAAATGTTATGAATTCAGAGGAAATTAAGAACAAATTAAATGCATGCACTGTTTTTTCAAGAACCAGAAAACAAACCAAGTGATGTTAATGTACTTGTAATAATTTCACAGAAATATTACGTGATTTTGCTAAAGAAACAAAAACAACTAACCAGTAAAAACATGAAGATTAATAAACCAAAACAAAAGTGGTTTAATTAATAAAGATTGTCATACATTTAAAAGGAATTTACCGAACTTGGGTAGTTTACCAGCAAATTATCCCTCATGCAGATCCGTTTTAAGTCATACATTTTTCACCAAAAGAAACGAGTATAAGAGATTAATAAAAAGACTCAAACGACAATTTCATAGTAGTGTATTAGATAAAATTGAAAACCTATCAAGTAGTAATCCTAAAGAATTTTGAAATTTACTTAACTTAATCAAGGCAAAACAATCGCCTACAATATCAAATGAAATACAACCCTCTGAATGGTTTGACTATATTTTTAAAATTTAAACATGATAAACATTCATAGTGAAAAGAATAATTATGAAGCTGAAATTGTTAAAGACGATAATCGTTGGGCGATATGTAGAAATGACACAATTGATAAACCAATTTCTGTTCATGAATTGTATATATAGACTAACAAACAAGTTAAAGAACAAAAAGGCCAGTGGCAGTGCTATCGATTCACTAACTAATGAAATTATTAAGGTAGCAGTTAAAACTTCACCATATTATTTCACCAAGTTATTTAAAACAATTTTATTCCACGGGATTTTTCCATCATCGTGGAAAGTTTTATTGTACCCATCACAAATCAGGTGATACTGCTGATCCTAATAACTTTAGAAAAATCATGCATCGGTAGCTGTTTGAGAAAATTAAGAATATCGAATAACTGCCAAATAGGTCATAGAAATAGACATCGGACTGTTCGGACAGCAGATCATATATTAGTTTTGAAAACCTTGATGGACTGTTATAGGCTAAAACGAAAACCACTTTTTGCTTGCTTTATTGATTTTAATGTATGGAGAGAAGGTTGTTATAATAGTGTATGGAGGGAAGGTTGTTTTTATAAGCTTATTTTATCTGGATGCAGTAAAACGTTTTTACGTCTAATGTTAAGTACACGCGTAAAAATTGAGAAAATCAACAACCTATTGCAAGTTGATATCGACGACAGGCGTGAAAAATGTTGCGCGGCCCACTATGAACAATATTGTCAACATGTTGTTGCAGCATTGTTCAACTGTAACAACTTGGAACAACATGGTTGACAACTTGTTCATAGTTGGCCGTACAACAGTGTTCACGCCTGTCGATATCAACTTGCAACAACCTGTACGTTTTTAGCCGTGTATGTATTCCTCAGTAAACTATTCAGTAAAATTACGTCAAGGAACAACTCCCTTCTTCAACTCTGATGTTGGTGTTAAATAAGGCTGTAATCTTATTCCTATGATATACCTGATTTGTTTAAAATTAACCAGGCATGTGATCCAGTAAAACGTGGTAATACAGATTTGAACAGTTTACTTTATGCGGACGATTTAGTCCTGTTGTCCGAATCGAGAGTGTCTATCAAAACTTGAAATATATACAAAGAAATGGAAGCTCAAAATTAATAAAAGAAAATGCAAAGTTTTACTTTTTGGAACACCGATCTTTGGGCGTGCATACTTAACGTCAGCTTGGTTATACGAAGAAAATCCCCTATAGAACAGGTGGAGCTAGTATTGTTACTTTGGAATTACTTTTCACTTTTCCGCAAATTTCAAACGGGTGATACTGCTGATCAGGTGATACTGCTGATCAGGTGATACTGCTGATACGAGCTTACAATTTTTTATATTACAATTTTGAAAATTTGCCAATCAAATGGCTTTTAAAACTTTTCTCGACTACAATATTCTCATTTTATTATAGAATTGTGAGATTTGGGGTCCACATTTGCTAGGCAAGATAAATTATTTTGAAATATTTAAGGGTAAAATATTTATTCAAAGTGATCAATGATATAGAAAGATTTCATTTAAAATTTTGTAAACGTATTTTTGGAGTTCACTCAAAAACTACAAATATAGCAATTTATGCTGAATTAGGAAGGATACCGTTAATTGCACAAATTTCTTTGCATATCATTAAATACTGGCTACACATTAAGGATGCAAGTTTTGATAAAACTCAGGCTGACGGATATGAATCTTCATCCAGCAATGTTTACGGATTGTATAATGTATTTACTGAAAGTGTGTAAAAATTATGTTGGATATGTTAGGTACTTCACAGTCCCTCATGACACTTAATGAAGAGTCTAAGCATTATTATAAAAAACAACTGAAAGAAAATGGAAAACTAAAAGTCTTCAGTAAAATTAAAATGAATTTTGAAATGGAAAAATATTTAATAGAAATCCAAAATGTTAAACACCGCCAAGCTGTTACAAAATTAAGAATTTCTGCGCAAAGATTATCAGTTGAAACTGGCAGATATAAAAATATTCCTTACTGAATACTGTGATAGAGTGTGCAGACATTGTGATCTGAACAACATTATGTGATGTCATGCAGAAATACAATGTTTGCAACTTTAAGACAGGATTTCATAGATGACTTATATAAAGTCAATAATTTTTCATATATTTTTCAAGTTATAGATGATTTGTTTCATTATGTTATGGCTATATGCATGATACAAGCATTATGAGACTGTTTTCTAAATATTGTTATGATATTCTTACAGTTTTTGATGAGATACAGTTATGTAGTTAGATATCATTGTTTATTCCTAGGCTATATATGTTATATTCTTAATATATCATTATTGGTATTTTGATTGGAATAAAGTTATTTATTTAAATCATCCTAAACTGAGCTACAATAACC